TACTAGTATAGTACTATATACTATATACTATACTATACTATACTATATATATATAGTATAGTAGAGTAGTAGTAGAGAGAGAGAGAGAGAGAAGAGAGAGAGAGAGTGTGTGTATTATGGTATATGTTAGTGAGATAATTAATATGTGTGTGGTTTGTATAAGTGGTCAACCTTGAACAATCAAAGTAAAGTGCACCTTAATTCTGGTTAAAAAATGCAGATCTAGTATTAGAAATCTTTATGATAGTCTTAAAATCTGTCGACACTCGCAATTATGAAATTTAGAGCTAAAAAATGTTGCAGATTAAGTAAACACTCAAATTTTTTAAAAATGGATGGTCAACACAATGTGTTACAACACGCACTATTTTTAAGACATTAATTTTTCTTTTCATCTCTAGGTCGAGATGAATAATTATATAGTTTTTCGACATCGGAGTAACCCTTTCGGGTATATTTTTTAGGTGCACCTTACTTTACATATAAAAGCTCACACCTTATATAAATTTTTTTCAATTAATATTATATAAAAGTAAATGAATAAGATGTTAAACAGTTAAACATTTAATGCTTTTTGATAATTTTCTCAAAAAGGTTGAACACATTCTATATGTAACCAAGAAAAAAAGAGACCCTCCAATTTTTGGACGGTCAGATTTTAAATGTTTAATCATTAAAAGTATATATTTTCTTAATTACTCAAATCCCAAAATTTTATACCAAAAAATCTTTGTAATTTAGCTCTTTTGTCCAAGAGAGCAAGTAGACAATTGCTCCCACAGTAGCACCGGTTCTACATTCTTTCGTCTCTATACAAAGGCTTATCAATAAACTGCATTTTCAGCTTATTAATTTAACTTACCTCTGGTTTTTTAAATTAATGCATTCTAGGTTTCATAGTTTGCATGGATTACTTACCACTAAAGGCTTCTAATTGCTGATGGAATGCAAACAATGCCTTTTCATGAGTTCATTAGATGCCTTCTCCTTAAAGTTAATATCAAATATCACTGCCATACATTCATAATACATGACTTTGTTGGGGAGATTTTGGCTATGAAATGAAAGAGAAATACTAATACACAAAATATAGAAAACACAATTTAAATTGACCTTTATCATCATTATCATCATCGTCAGAGCTTTTTTTTAACTAATTGGAGTCGGGTACACGAATCCTGGTCCGCCATGTTCATAAAATTCCAAATTGCCCTTCAGGAAGATAAAACACATGCAATAAAGTGAGAGTGTAAACATAAAGATAGTTGAGATACTTCCATAGTTGTGTATTCTAATTTTCTATGTATGTTGAGAAATTGCAGGTTTTCCGTAAGCCAGGCATATTGTTTTTGCATGTTTGTCGGGTTAATTTTGAAAAACTAATTGAAAAAAGAATATTAAAATCTGTTCTTCCTTTGATTTGATATCGTTGCCAACATAATGCATTTCAAACTCTCAAGCAAGAGGACTACATGAACTATCAAATTATCAGAGATAGTACGTAGTAGAGGGGCTGAAATATGATACAGTGGCTAGTGTTCAACTCCGCTGGTTCAACTTGGAACTGGGCACTGGCTGATTCTAGTTTTGGCTAGTTTTGGAGATCTACCAAGGTATTTCAAAAAAATTATATGAAATCTAAAATTAAGGGATTTATTTATAATGTATTTTTTAATGTTTTTTTTATCATTTTGGCAAAGATTGGAAAGTGTTCTCTCTATGAATAGTTATTTTTACATTTTCTCATCTTTTTTAAAAAATACCCTTGGGCACAAATCGATTTTTTAAAATCTATTTTTTTCACTAATTTTCAACTACCATTTGGATGTGTTTTGTTTAATCATTCTTTAAATATGTTTTTTTATATTTTTTTTATATTTTTTTTTTGTATTTTTTTAACACGTTTTTTATCGGCAGGAATTTGCCGAGTTAGACTGATTGAACCGGCTTGTTTATTGGTTACTTGGAACACGGATAGTGGCCCATTTTTTGAACACTAATAGTGGCTCTGTTTAAATCCTTTTTCTTGGTAAAATGGATGCATTCCTTTTTCAAAGAAGGTGTACCATACTACATGGATTATTGTGTTTACATACTTTTGTATGTATTCTATGCAGTAGACTACAAAATGCAACACGTAGAAGCCTATGTAGCATTCAGCCTCTATGCATAATATAGAAGTGTCGAATTCAACTACTAGAGGAGGTTTGGAAATTGATTTTGTATCGAAAGTTTCACAAGTTGACCATATGGACCACCATGATCTTTGAATCCGAGAAAATAAATTTTGAGCCTTAAGTATGATTATTTTGTAAACTTTTGATCATTTGTAACTTTTTATTATGAGATGAACATTGTTTTTAGAGCTTCAAATTCATGGGTCTGAAACTGAATTAAATTTTCAGTGATTTAAAATGTATTTCCAGTCCCAAATCTCTTGTAAATCAAGGCTGAAAGATGAGTTAGCGAATTACGATAAAAAAAAGTAAAGAAGGGAAATGTTTAACCTTAGTCTCATTATGAAATGTAATCTCTTCCAAATGTCCATCTTAACGGATCTAGGACACATCTTAAGTCACATTAGATAAATTTCCGCTTTACATCTATAATTTTGTAACTAAAAACATAATGCACATCTCTTGATCATCAAATAATTAAGAGGAATTCATATCAAATAATCCATTTTCAAAGTTCAAAATCCATTTTTTGTGATTCATTTGACTGAGATTATAGAATGTGATTTTGACGAAGACGGCATTTATATAGAAAATGCCTCATATCCTGGAAATCTCAATCCATTCCAAGGACAGGTTGCTAAAAGAATGAAGAATTTTATCATCCCAGGATCACAAAAGGGTGTGAGGACCCAAAAGGGGTCCTTGTCCTTTAACATTTTTGGAGAGCCCATTGATCATGCCTTTGGAGAGAGAAAAATGTCTTAAGTTACCCATTAATTAAAGGTATTCAGTACTAGGGGTGGCAATGGGCCCAGATCCGACCCGGTACCAAGGGGGTAGACTTGATCCGGTCTGGGTCCAAATCTTGGACCCGAAAACTATTTTAGTTCGGGTAATATTTTTCAGGTCCCAATATATATAATATATTTAAATATAGTTAATTAAATAGATATTTTAATTTTTGGGTCGGGTCCGGATCCAGATCTGGGTCCGACACTATATTTTTTGATCCAGGTCCAATGAATTCAAGTCCGAGTCCCATATCATTTTTTCGGGTTTGGGTCCCAGACCTGTTGCCACCCCTAATTTTCACTCTTAAACATGGTTATCAACATCAGAACGCATCACCCGGTTTACTTGGTCAGACAATTAGTAGGTGCTTTGGACGGTCCAATCACATGTAAAAGATATAGCTTAGTTAAAAACTTATCAAAAGTAATATTTGACTACTTTTTTTTTGTAGTTTGCTTGTTTTGACTTGTCTTACTGGTTAAACAAAATTGACCATCTTTTTTCATAAAATATTATATATTTTAAAACTTGTATTCATATTTTTATTTAATTTTTTAAATATTGACCAACCTATTTGAGAGGTGGTGGAACTTAATTTTGATCGAAGTATCCAAAGGCAGTCGAACCGCTTTTGATTGGAGTAGACCTTAACCGTCTAGTAGTAGTCCTTATTACTCTTAAAGAGAAAAATGAAAATCATGTTTAAAATATCAATTGAGCTACCACGAGAGCATGTAATATACATAAACTCCCTCACCCAAATAACCTACTTAGAAGGATACTTAAATCTAAAAGTTTGGAATCCATCTAAAAATCACTAGATGATCATTTTTAAAAAGAGATACTTTGAATTTTAAGTTTTTAGACGCTTAGATCTCACTGTTAAAAAATTAGATGGTCTCTATTCAATCTTTAGACATTATTTTTTTCTAAGTGTAGAGAGATTGCTATTTGGAAACATTCTTTAGTGAAGTTAGTCTAAGAGTTGGAAAGGTTTAACTCCAAAATTTGGGGTCCCCACGATTACTCTTAGATTGGGTTTTACCTGAGAAAATAAAGAGAAAGTATGTCCATGATGGAGCATGAAATCTTTTGGCTTTACATTCAGGAAAAATACATGCGTTATTTTGGCAATTCCAAGCCGTATTATACTCCATCGAGAGTATACTGCCCATTTACACCCTCCAATAATACCTACCTATTAATTTCGGACCCTAAATATTGGAGATGTAGTATTTTCAACTTATAGATTAACCTCCATAAAAAAGAAAAGAAAAAAAGTTCTTAATTATACCCTTTATACACTTAAAAATAATAATGTCTCAAGATTGAATGGAGATCGTCCAATCTTTAGATGGTGAGATCTAAGTGTTAGAAAAACTCAAATTTTCACTTTCTTTTCTGATCATCTAGTTATTATTATAGGCTTCCAAATTTTTAGACAAAAAAGAAAAAAGGTCTTCTTATCGATGGAGTAAATACAAACTATGCTCCCGCGGGAGTATAGAATACCTGCCCCTGGGGCCAAACGAAATAAAATGCCAACCAACTCCGTCCATTCACTTAAGCTAGGATCCCATTGTCATTCCAAAAACCATAGAGGACATTTATGTCATTTTATGTTTCATATGCGTCTGTACGTTCTCTGTCCGTACTCAGAATGGCACGTCAGCTTAAACCATAAAACCCTATTGGACCGAAACATATATAAACACCAAAAGCTAGGTTTCTCAGAAAATGGCAATAAACAAGCCCTAAACCTTAATTTTTACCCCCATTTCCAGTTAATCTTATCCCTTTTTTCCCACCATTTTCGATCAATTCGAGGTCACCTCGTCTTAACAGTCCTTTGATAGGTCCGAAACCTTTATTTGTTCTTACATTGCGACGACAATGGTTGGTTTTCACTGTTATTCAACCAATCCGGTTCTTACACCCGAGTCCTTGTTCTCTATAAATTGTTTTACTGATTGTCGCTTTAGTTTAGCCCTTTTAGGATTTGATTTGGATTTTAGGGTTTCCTCCTGTTATTTCTTTTTTGGCTTGAGCTCAGGAGCTTTAGGAATTCATGGAGGAGTGTCCAACACCATCATTTAAGGTATCAGTTCTAAAGATCTTGGGTTTTCTGGGGTCTTTCCTTGATGATTTGGACTACTGGGTCTTTTTATATATCTTGGGTTAGGTTAATTTGCAATTGTCTGTTGTTCTTGTGGGGTTTGTAATAATCTGGTTCGGCTTGTTATTTGTAGTAATTTGAATTCTGAAGCTTACTATTGCTTCTATGGCAGTTAGTAGACTAAGTTTTCCATAGTTGCTAGTTATTATGAGCGTTATAATTTGGATTGTGTTGTTATTTGTAGAAACTCAGATTAACTTACCCAAAAAAAGAACTCGGATTATGAGTCTATTTCTTCTATGACAGTTAGTGCATTAAAATTTCTATGTTGTTTGTTATTTTGGGGTTAAAATTTGGTTTGTCATTTTATTTGCATGAATTTGGTTTATGAGGCTTATTCTTGCTTCCATGGCAGCTAGTTGGTTGACATTTAGGTTCAGTTTGTTGGTTTCATTGATTAAAATGATCGGGCAAGTCCATCTATGGATCCAAGCTGTTTATCAGATTTCTTTATTTATATGCTCTGAGTAAATGGCTTGCGTTAGTTACAGCAAAGCATTTGACTTGGCTAAGTTATACATTGTCATATTGTGTGAGATATGATGCATATATTATTCACATTTTGAATTCAAGTCACCATAGGAATCATGCACTAACTGCTGGAGGTTCACCCGCAGGGGATTGAATTGGATGGTCCATACCGGCTTCTGCATTGTTCAAGCAGAGGAGATCGGGATGGTGTGATTCAGGAAATAAGGAAAGGCGTATCCCCAAATGTGTCAGATTATGACAAAAGGACTGCTCTTCACTTGGCGGCCTGTGAGGGCTGCACTGATATTGTTGAGTTGCTTCTTGAGAATCAAGCTGATGTCAACTCTATGGATCGTTGGGGTCACACAGTAAGGTCTTTTCCCCTTGAGCTCCATATCTATCATCAATTGATGGTGTTTGTCCATTTATTGCAATGGTTTTCAGCTTTCCATGAACCATACATTGTGACTTTATTGCATATTCGCAACTATAGTACTTTTGCTTGCTTGTATTTACTTAGATCTTTTTGTTACACTACAAAGTACTATTGCATAATATTTATCATTTTATATAGTTAGCAACCCCAACCTTCAAATTACATTGATCTTGTTTTCTTTAATGAATGCGCCCAAGCATGACATCCCCCTTGGTGGCTTCTCAAATCGATTTTGCTCATCTATCTCAACCACCCCCATTTGTTCCTCTAACCCCTCCAACACTTAGAAGCTCCTCCCCCTTTGGTCTAGCTTTCAACCTGCAAATCAGAGCATAGGGCCCACCTCTCCATAAATCCTTTATCTGAACCACTCAAAGAAGTTGGCTTATTCACTGTTGGTACAATAAAACTGTTACCTATGCAAATAAGGTAGTATAATTTTTTTTTTGTAGAGGAAGCTAGTTGATATATCTTGTTTCCCCCTGGAGTTTTAGTTCTTTACAAATGGCTTATGTGTGAAATTCAATCGGAAAAGCCCTTGCATGCCACAGTATATATGTATAAGGACTCAGAACTGCCCTGAAATCTATGTAACCATGCTGAACTTTTTTTATTGGTTTGATATTATGGTGGTTCCTTTATTGTGTTTTTTGAGTTTCTTCATTATGGATGACCTCTTTCCTCATTAGCACTTGATGGCTTCAGTTATTTTAGGGGTGGATGATATTTGAAAGTAAATTGTGCATATAGTTAGACATGAGTATCACTAGTTTCAGTTTCAGGATATTAATTTGATGTATAAAATTTCAGCCTTTAACAGATGCTTACAGCTCTGGTCATGAGGAGATCTGCAGGTTATTGGAGGGAAGAGGTGGAATTGATCCAGTAAGTGATAGTTTACTTTTGTAGATTGATCCAGTAATTGAATATTTTTGTGCAAGGGGTAAAGAATGTGGATATATTATTAATGGGCTTGGCTGTTTTAGTTTGCGCTTTCTCTTTTCTGTTCTTTTAGTTATCAAGAAAATTTAGGTCTCACTAAATAAATTTCCTTTAATTGCTAGGGTGATTGTAAGAACTGTACTTTCATGGAGCATATAAGGCTCACATTGTTCTAGAATATGGCCTGGGATCTCACTTCTACGTGTAGGAGATGCTACTCTTTCAATATTACATAGATTCTTCATCCATTTATCTTATTCCTAGTTTCTTGCCTAGGTGAGACTTGATTCTGCACCATGTTGTGAGATTGATCAAAGTGAGGTGGACATGTATGGTAAACAGCTTATTGGAGAGGTAATTATCTGTTTAGCCAAACTCCTTAGGGGAGCTGGCACTTTAAGAAAGTTATCACCACATCCTGTTCTTTATATTTTGTGGTTGAAAATGCACTATTTTCATGCTCTCTATTTTCTTTGCCTTTGTGCTTAAGAACGCAGTTGTGTTGAATCCATCATTACTTATGTGTTTTCTTAGTGCTGTCATTTACATAAGCTTCTTGGAGGGTAAAGTTTGGGTGTACTTTATGAAGCATATAGATAAAAACCAATGTAATTAAGACCAGATCAGACCATCCGTTTTGGACCGGGAATTGGTGAACCAGTGCCCCAAATGGTTAGTTTGGGGGTCTCGAACCGATGGGAGCACATTTCAAAAGCCAATCAAAACCGGTTTGAACTGGATGGTTTTGATTGATCAACCTAGTGTGAACCACCTAACTCAAATCTTTTTTGACCGGTTTTGACCAAATATTTTTAATTTTTATATATATTTTTTGTTTATATTTTCAGACCCGTTTGATAGGTGAACTGACCTGTCTGACTAGTTCAGACTGGATTGGTGCCCTCACAGGCTTGATGGCCAGTTTGGTCCTAATAACACTGGATAAATTGTGAATGAAAGATTTAATTTGTTCTTGAAAAATATATTTCTCTAGCTATAGAATGTATGCGACATTTGAGTTTTCCTGTAGATGTTTCTTTTTGAAGATTTTATAACTTCCCTTATTATCACTACTATTATTACTATTACTAGTACTATTAATATTGTTGCTAATGTCATCATCATCATTATCATCATCATCATCATTATTATTAAGGATGATATTTCTATAATTTTATGCTTAACTATGAGCTCCAAATCTCTTATAGCCACCCATGAAGGGAGGCCCATTCAAATTTATTATCTTCTCTGAAGTAACTACCACCCATATAGGTCTTGCATTGATTTCTGGTTCAAACGTGTTTTTGAAACCCATCACAATAAAACAAACTGTTGCACTTTTCCTCTTCTATTAGGTCTAGCCCGTTGAGTTTAGTGCTTTCCTCGTCTTTTTTTTGTTGTCTATGCAGTTAAGATTATGGTTAATTTTGTAAATTCAACAGGGTTCTTTTGGAGAAGTTTATTTAGTGAAGTGGCGAGGTACGGAAGTGGCTGCAAAGACTATTCGTTCTTCCATTGCATCAAATCCACGGGTCAAGTGAGTAGAATCATATGTTTTTTTTGAAACTAAGTAGAATCATATTTTAAGCATGTATATTCATTCTCAATTCTATTCATTAATCCCATGAGAAATGCCTTACTTGTATTGGACTATGAAGTTATATTGTTGTTTTGATATTCTGGTAGAGAAGCTGCAGTTAAGTACTTTTTCTCTTGTTGGTTGGTTGTTTAGAGGGCATGCTGAATCATTGAACCTGTTACAACAGAATACTGGATTTTCCATTTTCCATCAACCCAAAAATATTCAACCATAGTGCAATAACTAGAATTGAGAACATGCAAGGAGAAAACCTTTACATCTTGTTCAATGTCTTTTCCTTTATCCATGTTTTATTGTAATTTGGGCACATGCTGAGGCTTGAAGTCAAATGCTATGTGGGTATCGACAATACGACAGAATTCACATGTAATTGAATTGTTGCATACTTATTCTCAAGAATCTTTAAGGCACCAATATGCCAATTCTAAGTGTAATTTTTTCTTATGAAGATTTTTTAGTGGCTGTATAATTCAAAAAATAGAATGTATGATACACGATAGAGCAAAAGGGAAACTTGTGCACCAAAAGACAATTATGTCATGAATTATCGAAAAGAAAAAAGGCATATAAAATGCAGCCTAACACTGTGTCCAAGATATTCAGACCATTTCGGCCTACCTTAGTAGTATGAGTACTTAATATAATATAATGATAAAATAAAAACAAGTCAGTGCTTGTGGCTGCTTGGTTTTTACATGTCAGTAGAAGATTGTCTCAGCAACAACTTCTAATTTTGTTGAAGTACAGCCCAAGTCTAGTTGCCTGTCTATTAGTTCATTTGAATATTTTCTTTGTCCAGCAATTCTTCTGTGCAACAGCTATTTTTCTGTGCAAAAAATGTTAAATGGTTGGGGATGTTTTTTGATATAGAAAGATTTAGGGAAGGAAATATTTTCCATAGATTAAATTATGTTTTGTTTCAAGTGTTTAAATGAAAACTGCAAGATATCTAATCACCCTAACATTATTTGGAACAATGCTATCTGAAACCTTTCTCAGAAGGTAATTGCATCAGAAAGCAAATTGTTGAGTCTTGGGTTTTGGAGTCACCCCATGTACTGGAAGATCATGAATTATATTTATACATTGACATTTTGTTACAATGCATTGTGCAAAGTATAAGTAATCCACGGTATTGTTATTCAGTTATACCTTCAGGAAGGAATTTTCCCTGTGGGCTAAGTTGCGTCACCCCAACATAGTACAGTTTCTTGGTGTTCTAAAGCACACTGAACGCCTAACCTTCCTCACTGAATATCTCCAAAATGTAAGTTTCTCAACTTTGCTTTCTTTCAAAAATCTGTTATTGGATCCGGTATAGAATTATGGTTACATGGATGCTAGTTAAAAGGATAATATTTATCTGTAAACATGCACATATTCTGATTAGTATTGTTGTCCTTGGTTAATAGGGAAGTTTATATGACATCCTAAAGAAGAAAGGGAGACTTGATCCTCGTACAGCTGTATCATATGCTTTAGATATTGCCAGGTATGCGCCTTATTTTTTGTTTAGTCTTTCATGAATAATTATTGGACTGGTCAATCTGTTGCTCTTAGAATTTCTTAAAATAGTAAGGCTTAGGAGTTTTATCTGGGATATATCTGCACTACTGCTGGGAAACCGGCCACATCTTTGCCACTATTTCCACTGGCAGGCTGCATTAATGTTTTGACCCTAGAGGTTGAGGATTAGTCAATATCATCAAATGCATTTTCCTTGGGCAAGGGAGCTATGATTGCCTAAGGCTTTTCAGGCTAGGAGATTGCCTAGGTTTAAAATTGAGAATAACTGAGAGTTCACCCACAACCGAGAGTATTATTTATTTATTTGTTCTTCACTCTTATTGATAATAGGTTTGTATACAATTAAAGTGCATTTCTTGGTACAGGTCAGTCACACCACCCCCAGACATCAGTTGTTACCAAGAGCGCTTATTGTATGCATTGCCTGTATAATATTTGAGTCTCGTAGAAACTTAAAGCATCATGATTTATTGCTATGTTATTGCAACAACTCATAGTGCCGTATCATAAACTTGTCGATTCCTTAAATGATTAACAATTTAAATAAGTAATATATCTCGGGAACTGTAGAAAGGCGTATTGCGTGAAGGAAAAATATTCTGTATATGTTTCTTGATCATGGTGTTTGCACTTGTAACTCGGCATCCATTTCATGTGGATTTACAGAGGCATGAATTATCTCCACGAACATAAGCCGTACCCTATAATACATCGTGATCTGACTCCGAGGTAATGGACAATGATTCCTACCCTTGCTGCTGCTCCTCATGTCTCAATTAATTGTCCATAGTTATTATAATACAGATGGATACCCTTTCTTTCTCTCT